CACACCCTCTTTCGTCCTCTTTCGTCCTTTTTCACCTTTCTCTTTCGTCCTCTTTCGCCTCTTTCACCCTCTTTTGTCCTCTCTCACCCTTTTTCATTCTCTCTCACCCTCTTTCACCCCTCTTTTATTCCCTCTCACCCCCTTTCGTCCTCTTTCACCCTCTTTCGTCCTCTTTCACCCTCTTTCGTCGTCCTCTCACCCTCTTTCACCCTGTTTCGTCTTCTTTCACCCTCTTTCATTCCCTCTCACCCTCTTTCGTTCTCCTCTTCACCCTCTTCTTCCTCTCTTTCGTCCTCTTCACTCTCTTTCGTCCTCTCTCACCCTCTTTCACCCTCTTTCGTCCTCTTTCACCTTCTTTCACTCTCTTTCGTCTTCTCTCACCCTCTTTCATTTCATTCTCTCACCTTCTTTTGCCCTCTCTCATCCTCTTTCGACCTCTTTCGCACTCTTTCGTCCTCTCTCACCCTCTTTCGTCCCTTCTCTTTCACACCTCTTTTGTTCTCTCACACCCTCTTTCGACCTCTTTCGTCCTCTTTCACCCTCTTTCGTCCTCTCTCACCCCTCTCTCACCTCTTTCACTCTCGTACGTCCTTTCTCACCCTCTTTCGTTCTCTTTCACTCTCTTTCGCCTATCTCGTCTTCTCTTACCCTCATTTGTCCTCTCTTACCCTATCTCCAAAAAATCATAAAAATGAAAAGGTCAAGCCATGTTCAAAAGAAGGTCCTCAAAAATTTAAACCTAGTCTGTACAATAAAAAATAATTACTCGTAATTCCAGAGTTCCAATTTGTTAATATCGAATAATGTATTTGTTTCAAGTAATGGCAGTAGAGTCAAATACATACCTACGTATATGCAGTTTTTGCTGTTAATTGTACTTGAACGAAAAAAATAATTAAATGATTTAAATATAGCACATTTTAAATCAAGAAACTTATATCCTAAAAAAATTAAGGTCAGGCCATGTTCAAAAGAAAGTACTCAAAAATTTAAACGATCTAATAATAAATTATCACGAAAAGTAACTGATATGTTATTCAAGGTGCCAGTTCAAAGTGAACATACGTAAAGTGTATATTATCTAAATTTAGTAATAATATTTACCATGAAAAGTAACTGTGATATTTTATTCAAGGTGCAAGTTCACATTGAATATACATACATATAAGTAAAACTGATTACAATTTGATTCTAGAAAATAAGTGCGATATGTTATTCTTAGTGCACAAAATATAATAGTCGTTTATAGAGATTTGATTTGAAATTCATACTAGCCCGTACAATGAAAAATAATTACTCGTAATTCCAGAGTACCAATTTGTTAATGACTCAGAAAAATAACATGGCGGCCTGCTCTCATACGTGTAAAATGTTTCGCCAACGTTGTACGATACGGTAATAAGTGATCAGAATCATAAACATAACTCGTATTGCATGCGTACGAAAAAAACGGAAACTAATATATACAGAAAGTGTCGGTTCGATTTTCCTCGGCCAGTTACTGAGAATTTCGTTTTAAGAGACGTTATCACTTCGATAGTCGGAGAAACCGATAGAAAAATTTACGCAGTAAGAGCAGATTGTACGATCTTCCTCGCAAGGAGTCGAAATGTTTATAAATGATTATAATCCGTCTATCAAATTAGCTTGGGAGGGAAATATGGACATACAATTTATTAGAGAAAAATCAGAGCTTTTAAACTCATATTTAACAAAATACACGACAAAGTCGGAAAAATGCAATACAGACTTTGAAGTGATAGATTCGAATAAGTCCTTGGCATCGAAACTGTGGAATTTTGCAATGCGTTCATTAAATAACAGAGAATGCGGTGCTTTAGAAGCTGCGGATACACTATTAGGGAATCCCTTGTACGGTACGGATAATGATACCATGGTCAAATGGATCGATGTTAATGATGTGAGAAATAGAAAAGTTAAAACATTTAATGAAATTTAAGCTTTCAATGAAAATTCTACGAATATTTACTGTTCGTCACTTATCGATGATTACTATCCAAATAGACCTCAGGAATTAGAATCATTGAATTTGTGCGATTTTGCCAGATTCTGGGAAATTACGAAACAGATGTCAAATAATGACAAAGTCAAGTGTTACAAACTGGCATCGGGTTTATTTTTAAAAAAACGAAAAAAGGGTTATTTAATTAACCATTATCGATTTAATATAAAAACTGAGCCCGAAAAATACTTTTACTCGCTGCTTCTTCTGTTCAAACCATGGAGAGATTTGAGTGAACTCAAAGGTACATTCGAGACTTACACGGATGCCTTTAAGAATTCAGAGTCTGTTTTAACGAAGGCAATGAAATATCACGAAAGGCTCGAAGAAATACAGAAAGCTTTTGAGAACGTTGCTGAATTAATCGAGAAGCGCGAAAATGATCTGAAAACAGCAGACAGAGACAAATCCGATGACGATGAACTGGATTGTAATCCGATAGAAGCTGACGACGCGATGAAAGATCTGGAAGATTTTGGTAAAATTGACGACCCGATTGATTTATCGCAAATGATGTCGCAATTGAACAAAGACCAGAAAAGAGTCTTTGATGGAGTATGCCAAGTTTTACAAGATAAGAATCAGATTCTGCGACTGTACGTAAGTGGCGAGGGTGGTACAGGGAAAAGTTTTCTAATTGAAACGATTAAACATTGGATCAGAATAAATTTGGAAAAAACGACTGCCATATCTGCTCCCACGGGTATCGCAGCATTCAATATCGATGGCTTGACAATCCATAGAATGTTTCAACTACCGGTTAGTCATGAATCTACACCAAAATATACGCAATTGTCAGACATGGTCTTGAAAACTTTGAGAGACAAATTAAAGAATGTCGAATTATTTATAATCGAAGGAATTACATGTAACAATGCAATGATGGATTTAGGAACGACTGTATTTAGTGATGGTCAAGCCTATGTAGGTTTGTCACGAGTAAGTAAATTGGAAGGCCTACATTTGATTAATTTCAATCCAGCATCAGTTAAAGCAAACTCGAGAGCCATTGTAGAATATAATCGACTGAGATCTATATTCAAATCTGAACTGCCACAAATCAATCCGTCCGAGAAAAAGGTTGCGAAAATGTACGATCGTCGATGGGATATCCCTAATATCATTGATGATATGCAGAATTATGATTGTGAGGAACCAGAAAGTATAGTTACGTGGAAAATATATGGCCTTTGCAATAACGATGCTGTTTCGTGTTACGCTAATGTAATATTACAATGTGCGTTTCATTGCGTACGTATTAGGCAACAAATACTGAAAAATAAAGCATTGAATGCATTGATTGATGCTATCTGCGCGTATGGTGAACGTAAATATTGCAACATTCAAGCGGTTAGAAGATCTGTCGGAAAACGCTTCGAAGACGAACACAACAAAATGTTTCGGAATTTTTACGGCTCTAATGTCGACGTATTCCGACATCAATGATGTATTAAAACTCGAATTAAAGCACGTAACATGTTGCTCGAATGTCAAATGTAATTACAATGTAACTAAGCTAGAAAGCAGTAGTTTGTTAATATTACCTATACATTCGACATTAAAAAGGAAAAAAGGTGTCACTCTACAAAGTTTGATTAATGTAGAATTTTCTAAATGGGAAACGATAAACGGCAATTGTAACGAATGTAAGGGCACCGTGTTGAAAAAGAAAACCGTAATCGAATCAACTTTATCCGTCGTAGTAATACAGCTCAATTTATATACTTTTGTAAACGGTGCTTGTTCGTGGGACGCCAGGTAATCAAGTAAATAATAGACTGTATAACTTTGGTTTTATTTGGCACAAAAAAAATGAGTAAATTTACAGTAATGAATAAAACACAAGTAAGAATAAAGCCTGATTAAGATTATAAACTGAATAATAATGTCACTATAGAAAATAAATTCACCAGGGTTCGTAATCGCGGATCACTCGCTCGTTAACGTTTCGGGTCTCTCGGACGACTGACTGGTCGGAGCGCTTAGGCATTTCACCCAAAAACGGGGCAAGCGTGCCTCGCAGTGAAGATCACGACGTGCCCACGCTTGAGAGTCGTACAGTATCACGCGCCTATCATGCCGAATAACAGTTCGGACGGACTCCGAACATTCCGCCCGCCTCCGTCGTCCTCGACGGAAGAAGTGGCCACTGGTCCGCTGAACTCAAGGTGTCTTCCCTTGTCGTCCTCGGTGGGTAGCCTCACCAATTTGACCAGAGGCCTCGTGAGGGTGGAATCCGCGGTGCGGACCTGTGCAACTCTCACGCGACCGTCTGGTCCGGGGTGTAGCGCTAAAATCCGCGCCATCATCCAGCGCGACGGTGGGAGTCGCTCGTCCCGGACGACGACGAGCTCGCCGACTCGGGGAGCCTCGGTCTCCTTGGTCCATTTTCCCCTCGCCTGGAGGGTATGTAGGTAGTCTCGCGACCAACGAGACCACAGGTGCTCGGTCAACTGCTGGAGAAACTGCCATCTGGAGAGTCGTCCTTGTTGACACCCTCCAGGCTCGGTTCCGGAACGCTGACCAGCGGCCTGCCGATCAGGAAATGTCCCGGAGTCAACGCGCTGAGGTCGTCCGGATCGTCCGATATGGCGTGTAGAGGCCTCGAATTGAGACACGCCTCGACTCGTGCCAAGAAGGTGCCAAGCTCCTCGAATGTTAGGGTGTGTTTTCCGACGACTCGGCGGAGGTTTGACCAATTTGACCCCGGCTTCCCAGATCCCGCCAAAGTGGGGCGTCGCCGGCGGTTGAAATCGCCATTCCGTGCCGTCGTTCGCCAGTGCTTTCGCGATGGGGCCTCCTTCTGCACCAGCGGCCTTGAGGGCCGTCCGCAGCTCCCGATCGGCTCCAACGAATGTCGTGCCCTGATCACTGTATACGACGGCCGGTACGCCGCGTCTGGCGGCGAAGCGATGGAACGCCGCAAGGAAGGCCGAGGTCGAATAGTCGCTCACCAGCTCTAGGTGCATCGCGCGGGTCACAAAGCACACGAAAACCGCGATGTACCCCTTGCAACTGCGGTGTCCTCGCCCCTGGTCGTCCGCACGCCGATAGGACCAGCATAGTCGACCCCGCACGTGGAGAACGGGGGAGCCGGCGTCACCCTGGTCGCCGGCAAGGGCGCCATGAGAGGCTGGAACGGGGCGGCCCTATGCCGCACGCACGTAACACAGCGATGAAGAATGCCACGGACCAGGCTGCGACCCGCCGGTATCCAGAAGTTCCTCCGCAGGTTTGCCAAGGTCATCTGAACCCCGCCGTGGTAAACCCTCAGATGCGCGTTTCTCACCAAGAGTTCTGTAAGGCGATCGAATCTCGGCAGTATAACTGGATGGTTCTCCTCCTGCAACTGACGTGAATGTCGCAGCCGACCACCGACGCGCAGCAACCCATCCTCGTCGAGGTGCGGCTGCAGCGGCGTCAGTGGGCTGCGTTGATTGATAACGGCACCTCTCCTTAGCCGAGACAGCTCGACTGGAAAGTGCTTCTGCTGCGCGACGCGCAGCAGGGTGTCTCTCGCGGCTCGGAGCTCCGAGGCCGCGAGAGCCCTGGTGACTGGTCGGAATTTGCGCAGGAAGCGTAGCACGTACGCCACGCTACGCAATGCTCGACCGTAAGTGGAGAACCGGGTGAGGAAGTCCTCCTCCTCCGTCTGGACCGCGATGTGCACAACTCGGCGCTCCTCCGGCGGCTCGGCTCTGGTGTCCAAGGGAGTCGCGGGCCACTCCTCGACGGGTCGCGTCAGCCAACGCGGGCCATTCCACCAGATTTGATGCATCCCTAGGTCACGCGGCATCAATCCCCGCGACGCGCAGTCCGCCGGGTTGTCCTCCGTCGGAACGTGGCGCCAAACCGCTCCCGGGATAGCCTCGTGAATGGCCGCGACGCGGTTGGCGACGTAGGTTTGCCACTTCGAGGGGTGTCCACGCAGCCATGCAAGCACGATCGTCGCGTCCGTCCAGACGTGGATTGAGGTCACCGGAATGCAGTCCCGCACTGACGCCAAGAGTCTAGCCAGTAGGTGCGCTCCGCACAGCTCGAGTCTCGGCAAGGTGACCCTCTTCGCGGGCGCCACCTTGCTTTTGGCCAGAATCAGACCCACGGTAGCCGGTCCACCCGGGTGTAAGATCCGCAAGTACGCGACGGCAGCGTATGCCCGCTTTGACGCATCGCAAAATCCGTGGAGTTCTACGCGCTCCGCCTGGTGAGACCAGCCCAGCCATCATGGCACCGAAAGGTCAGCCACGGCAGGGAGTTCCTCGCAGAACCTCCGCCACCGAGTCTCCATGTCCGGCGAGACGTCTTCGTCCCAATCCGCTCCTCGTAGCCAGAGTTCCTGTAACAAGATCTTCGCGACCACTACGATCGGCGCCAACCAACCGAGCGGGTCAAAGAGGCGCGCGATTGCCGAGAGAATGGCGCGTTTGGTGATTCTGGGTGGCACCGGCGGACGATGGGTAAACCGAAAGACGTCCGACTCCGGCACCCAGTGTACGCCCAGCATTATGGTCGCCCGCTCATGATTCCCGAGTTCCACCATCGCCTCTCGATCCTCGTGGGCGATGCCCTCCAGAAGTTCCACTCGGCTGGAAGCCCACTTCCTGAGATTGAAGCCGCCCGCCTTGAGCAGCTGTCTTAGGTCGGACTGTAACACTTTCGCCTCATTCAGGGAGTCCGCTCCACCTAGCACGTCGTCGACGTAGGTGCCGCGTCGCAGCAGAGCCGCGGCATCCGGGAAGCGGTCTTGTTCGTCGTGCGCCAGCTGCAGCAGGGTGCGTATCGCCAAGTACGGTGCGCTCGCCGTACCATATGTCACCGTGTTGAGGCGATAGCACCCGATAGGCTGCTCCGGATCTTCGCGCCAGAGGATCTGCTGCAGCGGCCAATCTTCGGGATGTACAGCGATTTGGCGGAACATCTGTTCGATGTCCGCCGCGAAGACGACTCTGTGCATCCTCCAACGCAGCAGCACCTCCCGCAGCTCCTGCTGGAGTCGTGGCCCCACCTGCAGCACATTGTTAAGGGAGACTCCCGTCGACGTGGGCTGCGAAGCGTTGAAAACCACGCGGACCTTGGATCCGTCCGGCGTAGGTTTGAACACGGGATGATGCGACATGAAGTAGCCGGCCGCGCGTTTGCCGTCGTCGTCGCCGACTCGTGTCATGTGCTCCCGTGCCTCATAATCGCGGAGGAACCGCGTGTAATCCTCTCGCAGGATGGAACTTCGTGCGAGGCGACGCTCGAGACGTAGCAGGAAAGCTCGCGCTACCGCTCTCGAGTCGCCAAGTTCAGTGCCGTCCGTCGCCTCCCGTCTTGGCAGCCGAACGATGTAGCGGCCGTCCGCCGCGCGCTGATGCGTGGCCGTGTACTGCTCGTCGCATTCCGTCTCCTCCTTGCTCCAAGGAGACGCGGACGGCAGCTCCTCGACCTCCCAGAATCGACGTAGTTGTTCCGCTACCTCGTCCTTTGGCAGTGAAGCGAGCAGTCATTCAGCTGCTCCGATGCGGTCGCGTCGGCGACCGTGCCCGTCAGCAGCCAGCCGAGCTGTGTTGACTGCGCCACTGGCAATCCCTCTCGCGCTTGCGGATGTCGCCCATGAGGATGTCCGCGTAGACTTCCGCGCCTAGAACCGCTTCGATCCCCGTAGCGCTGGTAAAGTCATCGGCGAGTTCGAGTCCTTGTATGTGCTTCCACTGAGTAGACGAAAAACAGACCGGAGGTCTGTAAGACGTTAAGCGCGGTAGAATGAGCGCGTCGAGTTGCCGCGCGTACGGATCTCTCGTCAGCGAGCGAAGCGCAACGGTTGTCGCCGCGCGGGCGAGAGCGGTCTCGGTCTCGCCCATCCCGGTAACGCGCACGCGAACCGAGCGACGCGTAACTTGCAGCCGCTGTGCCACGGCTTCCGAGATAAAGTTGAGTTCGGACCCTTGGTCGACAAGGGCACGCACGACGGTCGAGCGTCCGGACTCGACCTGCAGTTGCACTCGCGCAGTCGCCAAAATCACTGATTTCGCACGCGGTTGCCACCCCACGTGCGCCGCGGTCTGCGCTTCCGCGGCCCGCTGGTTGTCGGACCCGACCGGATTATCTGCATGCAGCAGGGTATGATGCGCGTCGTGGCACACTTGACAGCGCTTGGCGGATGTGCAATCGCGCGCCAGGTGGAAGCTGGACAGGCAGTTCCCCACACAATTGATGCGCGTTGACCTTCGCCTTCCGTTGAGCGACTGTCATCTTCGTGAACTCGGGGCAGTGCAGGATAAAGTGCGTCTCCTTGCACAGTTTACGGGAGCGGCTTCGATTTTGAGACGTGTAACACGCGCGCCCGAGACGCCTTTCCACTCTTGGGCGTTGCCGCAGCCGACGGCGTGGACGACGCGGAGGTCGACGGCGACGGAGAAAATGCGTGCAGCTCGCGCATCTTTCATTCGAGGAACTCGCTTAGCGTATTCCACGGCAACGGCTCACGTTCCGTATTCGTGAGCCTTTTCCAGTCGCGCCTCGTCGCGGTATCGAGCTTGGAGACTGTCAAGTAGACGAGCCAGTCGTCCCAACGTTCCACCGGCGCCCGAGGTGATGCAAAATGTGCGGATTTCCGAGACCCATCGAAGACGCGCTGCACTTCCGTCGTGGTTTCCGTTTTCGCCGAAGCAATGTCGACAAGGGCGGACAGGTGCGCGGTCACCAGCAGTCTCTTATTGTTATAACGATCGCACAGTTTTTGCCACGCGGACTCAAAGTTCTCCGACGTCACGCCGAAGTTTCTAATGAGCCTCTCCGGCTCTCCGCTTAACCCTTGTTTTAAATAGTGCATCTTTTGTACTGCCGACAACGCCACGTTGGAGCGCACAAGCGATTTGAACAAGTCATGATAACTGCGCCACTCGCCGAACGCGCCACTGAAACGCGGAACTGGAACGCGCGGCAATTGCACCCCGGGCGCCGCGACGCTCGTCGCCACAGCGGCCCCCGGCATCTCGCGAGTTACCTCCACAGATCGAGCCGTCATACCTTGCTCGAGCTCGTCTTGCATGTCGAGCAGCTCGCCTCTCTGCTGGAGGTAAATTTCCTGGACGCCCCCGAGTATGTCCTTCCGCACGTAGTCGGAGTCAACGAGTGCCTTCTCGCCCAGGCGACGTAACTCCCGATCGTTCTGCATAAACTGCTCCCAGTAACGATCGGTCAAATCAATACGTGACACTAGGCCGCCGTGTGATCGGCCTGTTTCCGTTGATTTTCAACGGAGTGGGCGATGTAATCCCGTAGCCGCGCTTGTTCGTTTAACAAATCTTGCATGGTTGGCGCTGGACGCGGAGGCGCAGCGGTGGCCATTGCAGGGCACTCACCTTGCACTTAAAACTGCACGAAAGAATCGTCGGATTCCTTGAGCTTGTCCGAAATCGTCGAGACTCCGCGACGACGTCGTCTGTCTCGGTGTACCGCGGTCGCGCGAGGAAGACGCACACAGACAGCGAGCAAAAATAAAATAATCGAGAGTCCCTACCGCTTGGCAAAACGGTATCACCGTGTGCACGCGTGATCCGCGGATGATCCGCTCGAAGGACCAAATGTTCGTGGGACGCCACGTAATCAAGTAAATAATGGACTGTATAACTTTGGTTTTGTTTGGCACAAAAAAATGAGTAAATTTACAGTAATGAATAAAACACAAGTAAGAATAAAGCCTGATTAAGATTATAAACGAATAATAATGTCACTATAGAAAATAATTCACCAGGGTTCGTAATCGC